AATGTCTGAAAATGTTTTTGATTAGTTGTAATAGGTGGTTACACTCCTATGGGGTTTCCTCATGCTTCTAGACTTAATGCTAAGCTAATTATTCACTGTCAGTTGCTTTAAATCTAACTGAGAGACATGACAGTGGTTTCAATCTTCCAATCCAAGCCTCAGAAAGACAGAGAATGAATGTTTCTAAATGTGCCTGTTTACTCCTTATAAATTATATGACATGTTTTTTTAAGTGGCTCTTTACTGGTTTCCATCATGAAACAGAACGATCTGACCTTGGAAGCATCGAGGAGCATTGATTGTTTTGTGTTGGGAAGCAAACCTGACTGGTAATATTCTACCTGTCTCCACAGGACTGATGGAGGTGATGAGGCCGCTGTGGGTACTGACCGGTAGCGTCACAGGAGCGTTGGCCTCCACTGTGGTCACCACCACCGGCACGGTGGTTGTCAGCGGTGCCGCTGTGGTCTCTGGCAGAGTCGGCAGCACTGTTGGCTCTGGCAGAGTTGGCAGCACTGTTGGCTCTGGCACAGTTGGGAGTTGTACCACCGGTGTTGTTGGTACCTTGGGGTCTGACTTTGTTGGGCACGGACCTTTAAATTTGTATGGGAACTGGCCTTTGACCCTGTGGTGTGGATGGAAAGCTACAGGTGGGGATAGGCCTTTGTATATATGGTGCATTTGCGGCGCCGCCGGCCCTGAGAACCTGTGGTGATAGGGCGGCATGGGGACGGGTCTGTGGTAAGTCACTGGTGGAGACTGAGGAACAGGATGATACACTACCGGTGGAGGGATCCGTGGTGGCTGGTAGTGGTAGTGATACCCTCCTCTATACGTGTAATCACTTCTGTGGACTACAGGGTCACCAGAAAGGAAAAGTGATAGAGAACATTAGCAAGTTGGAGGAAAAGCTTTGTAAGTGACACCACATATGATTAGTTAAAGCATGAGTGTACGTTCAGCCACATGGACGGTTTCACTTGTACTGATCAGAGCTCCAGAAACCAACAGTCAAGACTTCAGATTTCATGCACATGGTTCTCATGAAAATGACAAATGTATTTATTATTGTTGAAAGATGAAATATCTCATCTTAGTTTTTTTTAACATCCAGCATTAACTGTCATTTCATTACAAAACAATTGGCATTATTTTTATGCAAGCAAATAATTACAGAGACTTCAATAAGTATAATGTGGCTGGAGAGCAGTGGTAAAATATAAGAAAGTACATTTATTTAATTAGTTCTGAGAAACATATTTATTACTTTATGTCACTGAATGATTCAACTTCACCACATTTCAGAGGGAAATACTGAACTTTTTACTGCACTACATTTATTTGGAAATTAAAGTTATTTTTCAGAACATTATAAGATAATATTTAGTATAACAATAATGTTTTACACATACAATCAATGATGAGCTGTTTTGTTGTATATTAAACAACCAAACCCCTTTGACATCATATTAAAATGCTGGGTACACATATTATAAATATATCATACATATTAATATACTTCATAATTATAAGCTCTCTTATACATCTGAAAATACCTCCTACTTAAAAAATACTGAGATAGAGAAATACTGAAATACTGACAAATCAAATGAGGAGTAAAAAGTGCAACGTTCCTCTCTGAAATGTGGTGAAGAAATAATCAAACATAAGCACTAGGACTTGAGTAAATGTACTTTCTTACTTTGCAACACATTTTTACACTTATGTGTTGGTAATTTTACTTTTCTTACCACTCCGTCCTCTAGTACCACAAATTAAAAAAAGGAAAAGTCATGTCCGATGCCAGAGTAAAACTTACTTGCTGGATTCAGGGTCCTGGTCAGTGGCCGACCATTGTTTCTGGTCTGAGCGTAGCTCTGTGCAGCGATCACCTGAGGATCCACTGCACTGAGGTGATAAGTGGCCAGAACATCAGAGAGCAGCAGAGAGGTGCAGATCAACAGGCTCCACAGTGAAGACTTCATGGTGTCTGCAGATCCTCTGCTGCTGTGAGACCTGTGTCCGCTCTGTGTCTCAGCTCGACGGGGGTCTGACCTCCTCTGACCGCCTCCACATATGAGCAGCTCTGCAGGGCAACACCTCAAACCCTCCGCCCAATCCCAAAGTGGGACATGACCTCAGGCCACAGTGAAGGAGGACGGTACATAAACACTCACATAATCCGTCCTGAACTGCACAGTCCAGAAAGATTTATAAAAACTTTCCTACCACCACAATTATTCTATACAAAGCCAATTTCCTCATTGAGATCAGGGTTGAAGCCTGGATTTATTTCCCCAGTGACACCTGAAGATGTTTGATAAGTTCTGACAATCAAATATGTGGGTTTTTAATTTGAGATAAAGCTGCTCAACAAATAAATCTACTCCATAAATCGATTTAAAAATGTGACAAACAAAAAAGTCGAATGGAGAAACAAATGTTCTGAAATGTTTATTGAAGTCAAATGTTTTTACACTAGGATTAAATCATATAACCAGTAAAGTAATGAAGGGATGTGATCAATAAGCATGCATCTACTAAATGTTCCCAGTTTGCTCCAGATGTGTGAGAGAGAAGCGGCGACATCGATCCGGCGTCAGCGCCCCCTGCTGTCTCCGTCCCTCTCTCCCCAAGATTCAGCTGGAAAACTATTCACTAGCTTTGCTAACACATCAGGGTGATGAAAATGTCGGGGGTGAGGGGTCAGGCGCTGAACTGAACCACAGCAAAGCTAAATAAATAACAGACAAAAAAGCTACAGACCAGTCGAGACTGAGAAGGAATAGTCTAGATATTAATAATTAGCAAGAAAACGTAACACAATTTAACAATAAGAGCTATAATAAGTGGATTGTCGTAATAGTTTTTTTTACTTTTTACACTTCATATATGAATCTATAGGTAGGATGGTGCTGGATCGATGGGAGGATTTCAAGCAGTTACATTTTCACACGTATGCCTTTTACTACGACATTAAAAAGGCCGGAGAGAAAATGGGCTGGTAGCTTCCGTCGCTTTTCAATCATCACATTCATCCATTCAGTCATTTGTCTAAATCACAGAAATCTTAATCTCTCCCAACTTTCCAACAGCGGAACAAAGCGTCTTCAGTGGCCGTTCACGTACACAGCAGGTCAGAGGAGGGGATCAGTGTCTGTGGTTCAACAGCAGATCCTCTCAGCTTGTTCAAAAGAAAATACCACTTCAGTTTGAACTCTATAATCTATGCACCTCTATATACATTTTAAAAAACTATTTTTTTAAAACTTGTTTCATAGGAGCCTTCTTTTGTAGCTGATGTCAGCACTAATATATGAAAATTAATAAAGTGATCGGAAAAAGACATTTGGTCTGATTATCAGGTTATTTATTTTGTTTCCCACTTCCCACCCTTTGTCAAAAATTACACCATTTGTTTTAATTAAAAATGCTTGGAAATTTGATTCCAGAGTTAATGTCTGAAAATGTTTTTGATTAGTTGTAATAGGTGGTTACACTCCTATGGGGTTTCCTCATGCTTCTAGACTTAATGCTAAGCTAATTATTCAGGGGTGTTCAGAGAGGGTCAGTGAGGGAATGCAGGAATGCACATGACATGTGTGTGTGTGTGTGTTTGTTTGTACGTGTGTGTGTGTGTGTACGTGTGTGTGTGTGTCTTGGCAACAAATGGTGCTGGTGCTTAAGCGGGCATGTAAGGGGGAGGTGGTTCCTTCTCTGGCATCTTCATCGCCATCTCGTAAGTGGGCAGGATGTACTGGAGAAGAAAGACAAAAGGAACATGGAGGCGAGCTGACACACGTAGCACCAAAGACAACACAGGTTATTATTCAAGTAAAACTTCAATGTCTGATTGGTCTTTGGAAAATTGTGATGAAATCTTTCGCAATATTCCACCATTTTATACAGTTTATAATTTCAATACTTAAAAAGAAAGTGTTTAAACTGTACTCCTGAGTTTGAATCACTTTAGTGTTAAAAAAATAAAACGTTTTTTTATTGGTGAAATTCTGGAATCTACTCTTTCACCCCCAACATGTTAAACTCCTCTTGTGGCTTTTTGAGTCATAATGTGGACATCACGCCACCTGGTGGCTTTATTTAAGCATTACATAATGCTGCATCTGTGTGGAGTGTGTAACAGAAGAGCTTAGTGTCCAGAGGGAATCACAGGACGCGTTTATACCTGAGGAGGGGTCTCGAAGGCAGGGTACACAGCGATCTCTGGCATGTTCCTGTTGTTGATGTACTTGTAGCAGTTCCACACACAGTTGATCAAGTAAGCCTGAGAAACAAAAGTTTGTTTTTTGGCGTTAAATTGAGTCATTGAACATCAGTAAACAGCTTAAATCACTAAATTTAAAACCACAATATCTTATTTTGTCAATTCACACAAATTAAGAACACGTGTTAGATATACATCTGACAGCTCCTGTATTGAATTCACCTCTTCACACACCAACAGAATTTTAACATCAGTTTACTCACCTAATCCTTTTATATTAGTTCGATATCTGAAACTAACCATCACACACTAAATAAACCAGGTTTAACTGTGAATAATGAACAGTCTCACCTTGAGGATGATGAGGAAGGCAAAGAAGACAAGTACGAAGAGCAGCAGGCAGCTGGAGTCCATAGAGAGGAGGTTGTCTTTGTACGGGAAATCCGGCTGCGGAGGAAAAGAACAGACGATGTCAGATAATCAATAAAAGCTTTTCGAATTTAATTCAACTCACATCACCATCACGGCTACTGAATCAATAAGAAACAACTTAATAATCTCCATTGGGTCTTGAGCCTGGTGTAGCAGTAACATAAAATTGGCTTTAACAACCACGAGTACTCGTCATTCTCAAGTTACTTGCTGTTAAACTTTTCTCCATTTCCACATGTTCGTAAACTAGCCAGCAGGCTCGGTGGAAAGACATTTGTTTAATACAGAAACTTCACTAGAAACAGACTAATGACGCAGCACATACAGGAACTGATCCTTCTCCTTCAGTTCAAAAAGAAGTCAATGAGCACTATGTTATGATGAAACCTGTATTCTGTGTCTATGAGAGCATCGGCAGGATTCTCTGTGGTCAAATCAACATGATAGAGGAAGTGTGAGTGTGTCATGTGACTGAGTGTGGACTGTGGCTTCTGACCAGCTGGTCCAGGTAGTCCTTGATCCTCGGCAGGTAGGTGAGAGAGCTGACGGCCACCAGGCAGCTCAGAGCAAAGTCAAACAGCTGATAGCAGAAAAACGGGATGAGCCATCCGTCACGATGCTGAAGAAATCAGAAACATGTGGAAGGTAATGACTCAGCAGTGAGAAAGATCTGATTTGAACCATGTTGTGTTTTTTCAACCTTATTACTTCAACTTTCCTGAAGTAGACACTGAAGAGTGTCTCTTCTAATCCGGCAGCTGAGGATAAATCACAGCCTGAGCAGCAAGACTTTTCTTCACTCGAGTACCAAGAAGAAAAGTCTAACTTTGGTTTGTTTAATGTCTCATTTGATTTTTCTAAGATTAAAAAGACTAGAACTAGCCGGATTGATAAAATGCCGACATCAAACACATGCCTATCTAGAAACCAATCTATTTCAAGTAGATGCAGTCAAATATTCTTTGGTGCACTTCCTCAAGTGCAACGTGAAACCAAAACTGTGCAGATCAAAAGGAAACAATTGAACATGAACCTATGTGAAAATGTCAGATGTGATTCTGAGTGAATACTGAAACAGGAAGAGAGAGAACTGTCACTGCAAATGTGAGTATCAGTCAAACTGCCATATCGACAAAGTGAAGGTTGAAAAATCAGCAAAATGGTCATTTTACTTTATCACATCACAGTAAACTCTACAGGCATTCTGGGTAATTTGTCTTAACAAAAATAAAATCTACTTTACTCTCCGGTTCTACTTTATTTATCCTGAATACGTTTGGTTTATGCTTGTGGTTCAAGGAGTAATTCACTGGGACACTACACCAACAGCAGCGCTGCATGGGAGCATCTACCTGCACAGCTAAAGCATAAATAACAACACACAGCGGACACAGCCGGCATGTGTGTGTGTGTCATATTTTAACTGTGCAGTCATCCCAACTAGCAGCTTAATGCGGGTCCGTGTGGAGAGGCTATCAAACCTGTCGGTGTGGGTGCCATCAGGCGGACCTGTGAGGCGAAGATGACAAGCAGTGAAAACACAGCATTGTGTGCTACACCCCCACTGCTACAGGAGCTAAAATATACTGTAGTTAAAATAAAAACACAGAAGAGACACTTTGGTTTTTCTGGTTACGTGTTACCTCTGGTGCTGGGACAACTAGAGAGAATATAATCATGTATATGTGGGGGATTACATGAGAAACCGTGACGATACTTGAAATTAAGTTGGTGCTGTGAGAGAGAGATTATAAAAAGCCACCATATCTTCAGGGGAAGACTTACAGTAATGGCTCCGTACACCATCATGGCACTGATAGTGAGCATCAGCAGAGAGATGGCAAATCCAACACAGGCGTTCTCTGTGTGGGACAAAGAGAAAACACATTTTCTAAACACAAGCATAGATTTGTTAATACTTTATTACAGCTGCCTCCGTGTGGTGAGTGGTGATGAATGGGTATTTGCCTGCTTGCTTTGAGGCAGCTGTGCTTTGCATACAGTGCAGGTCAACACTCTCCAGGGCATCTCTGTTTCCAGCCAGCACGACTCTGGGAAGCATTAAGACTCTCGCTCTACGCTGCCATGAAACTCAGACTGTGGTAATTAAAAGGCCCAGATTTCATATCCTCTTTTCCCTCAACACTCACTCTCTCACTTCCTCTAACTGCTCTGCCTGTTGCGCTGCTGAGACGACGTTCTTGAGAAAAACCACTTCAGCAATGCGGTCCAGACGAAATGTTCTGTTATTCAGAGATCAAATTATGATTACTAGATGTATAATCAGAAGAGTGCATACCTCTGCCTTAATAATTAAATAATGGCTAAGGCCTCATTAGTGTCTTAGCTACACATTGGTGGTAGTTACAGGTTTCTAGCCATTTGTGTTAGCAGACAGCAGCACCATCAACTCTCGGGGTAATCCGTCCAGTAGTTTGTGCGTTAGTTCTATTTTTAACTAACTAAAGGAGATGAAAACAATCTCCTTGGTGGAAGTAGTGAAGATGGCCCTGTATGTTGAGTTATTAAAAATAACACAAAAATATATTTTATTCCAAATGCTCGAAATCCTCATTAGGACTAAAAACATGTTTTTTGAAATGGGCTCCAACTACAGATTATTCCCATTATCATCTTCTGATTATTTGATTGATTCATCATTAATTTAATAGTTTTGCCCAAAAAAATTCAGAAAATAAAAGAAATCATCCCAAAGACTTTTCAAAGACCGTCACATATTTGGAACCAGAGCATCAACCATTTTCACATTCTCTCTCTGAGTTAAAAAGCTTTAAACCAAGACCTGGATTGTGCAGCCTGATAGAGCAGCTCTAAGAGCCAGTAGTAGTGACCACTGAACCAGTGTCTCTGCAGGCTGTGGACATCCTCCACTGATCTGGGAGCTGGCAGGAGCCTGCTGTAGGAAGGTCGACCCACTGTGCTTGTTTCCACTCGTTCTTTGCTTAATTACTGCTTGAGAAAAACGAAGAGGCCGACCAACAAAACAACCCCCAGCTAGAATGAAAGGAACCCAAACAGTGCTTCCAGCCCTGCCCTGCGCGCGCACACGCACACGCACACACACACACACACACACACACACACACACACACACACACACACACACACATCTTGGATAAACTTAAATCCTTGGGGAAAGACAAAGAAGGAGCAACAGTGGAATGAGACTAAAAACAACATTTTCAAACTGCGTGTGAACATCACAGCGGTGCTCTGTTGTCTCCATGACTTGTTTTGTTTAGCAGTCAGCGGGGAGTTGTTGTGCTCCCTGTGGACGATGAATCACATGTTCAATCTCAGCATAACAGCAGCCCATGAGTTAGTGAGAGGGCTTAAAGAGAGAATGCACAGAAAAATCCAGCCAAAAAAAAAATCTATTCAGTGATATTTTAATGGACAATTCACCATCCACCATTCATCATCATCAGCTTCATCAGGACACAGAGGAAGCGTATGCAGCACCAAGCAACAAGTAGCATCCGCAACACATTTCACATTAAAGCTAACGAAATGTTTTGAGTGATTAATTGATTGCAAAACTAGTAACAAGTTAAATTTCTATAAATCCCATAACTTCTGACACTCAGGTTTAAACACACGATAAAGTAAATAAACTGTTTTAACAAAGCAGTTCATTATCCCTTACCAGACATCCTGTTGGAGGCAAAGTAATGGTCGATGACCTCATATTGCAGGTCAATGGTGGGCACATTCTCCGGGTGGGTCACAGCTACGGTCAGCAGGATACCCATCAACAGGTTGACCACCTGAGGAGAGGGTGGAGGGAAAAGATTAGTTGTGACCTGTTTAAAAGAAAATTGTACCTTTTTTAATAGGAAATGTAATATTTATTTAATTTAAACCTCCAGCAAGAAAGGGAATACACCTTTAAACATGAAACTAACTTTTGAGAAGTGAAATCATTCAAAGAAATGATTTCAAGAAAGAACTCGAACTCAGCGCAAAGTTGCCTTATGTGCGATAATTTCCCCTCTGTACCATCAATAATGCCAAACTTTTACAACAATTTTATTTAATAACAACATTAGGAGCAATACCTACGTCTGCGTCTACACTTGTGGTGATGAACGTGAATATGACAGATCTGTTTTCTTCGCATCTCTTCTCAACTGTCCAGTTTACTTACATCGGCATGTTTTTCAAGTGGCTTGATTTGTAGGCGGTGTCCGTTACTCATCCATCTAAACATTGATTATCAAAGTATTTATGCATAGTTGTTTTCTCAGACCGTGACTTGTGATACTTTTCCTCAGCACACAATCGTGAAAGGTGAGTATTCACCTGTGACAATGGCTGCCAGCGAATGATCACTTAAATGAAACATCTACTCTTTCCATGTCAGTCTGGTCCCTTTGTGGTTGATCGTGTTGCTTTGGTTTTCTATGTCAGCAGTCTAAACAAGCTGCAAAGTGAAAACTGGTCTTTAGTGGAAACAGGGGAACGTGGCTCACGTGTTTTTGTCCAACTGGAATTAAAAAAAAAAAAAAACTAAGCGCAACAAAAAGCAGACACATCTGCTGTGTGATCTGTGAGGAGGGGAAATGAGAAGCAGATTAACCCAGATGTGGCTTCAGCTGCAGGGACAAGATGTGCTCAAGACAGCGAACAGTAAAAAGCTCCCTGAAATCCAAACCACGAGACACTCCACAATATGATGACGAGATTAAAAAACCTGCTTCCTGTTCGTAGGAATTCACGTTACTGCGGATTGTTTACAGACAAACTTCTGTTGTGGTTTGTTAGCATGTCAGCCCGGGGTCGGCTAGTTTAAGTGTTACCCGAGCTAAGTGTCGTGTGTGTGTGCACTCCGAGGGTCTCTCCAGCCGAGAGTTGATGAATGACACGTGTCAGTCATCAGATTCACTTCCATCCTCTCGTGGATTTATACGAGAACCAACAGAAGCGTTAGCAGAAACAGGATAGGATAGCAGGCTAATGCTAAAGCAGGCTAATGCTAACGTGCCGTTAACTCGGCACGAATCCTCGGTGTGAAATGGCGATAAAGTGACAAATAGCTCAAGCTGGAGTATTTGATATTAATTATAAGTATATTGAGAAGCAGTCGACGTTATCCGGTTGACATTCATGGTTCGACTTGTTAATTTTAGCGAACTTGACACGACTGGCTGTCAGCGCTAGCCTCCGTTAGCACGCTAGCCCTCCTCCATCGACCATTTTACGCACCATGTACCATGTCCCCAGGATGATGCTCCCCGTCCGGACGTGGCAGCATCCGCAGCACCGGGTGGTGTACAGCCGGTCACGACTGGGCTTGAAGTGATGCATGTCCTCCACCAGTGTCGGGAGAAACATCGGGAGAGTCGCGGGTCGACAGCCGGAGAGAAGAGTCTCGCAACGGGAACCGTTAAGAGCTAACGGACTCGCAGGAACGCCCACAACTTCAGCCGCTGCCACCGCGAAGGGCTGCGAGACACCGCCGATCAAAACAAACCCTCCGACGGGGAGGAGGAGGCTGGACCACCGCTCCGGAGGGTGGGGGGTTCCACCAATGGAGGAACGTCAAGGTACAATGAATAATAACAACAACAGCAATAATAATAATAAAGTATTAAACTAAAGTTATTCCAGTTTATGTTGTGTTTACATGATGCATGTAAACAATATCTTAATATTTGTACACAAAACAAGTGACACTGAGGATTACGAGTTAGAAAGCGAATTTATTTGGAATCATCCAATACAAAAATATTTCATATTTTATGGCAGTTATACAGAGAGTAGTCAATACAACATTACAGCATCTAATTATCATCCCCTCGGTATTGTAAATAATGTTTAGTTCACAATCTTATACCAGTTTCATCCTTTATTAATCCGGAATGTAGCTTTGAGAGGCAAGATATCAACAGGTCCTATTGCAGATCAGACTATTTATAACACAAACAACAGAACGACAGTGATCCAACAAACACCAGGAGCCCCAAACTCAAACAGATACATGGAATATTTATTATTATTCTATTATTTACACCTGTGCTCTTTCCTATTATGACATGTCAAAATGTCATTTTATGACAAATGTGACTCCGGGTTTTAGTAGTTTAAGTTAAAGTGCTACATAAATGTGTGCTGACAGATAAATAATAAAAGATTCAAATATAGCTGTATTTTTGTAAAGGCCACAAGTAGACTAGTAAGATTATTCCCAGCATCTGAGTTCCACACATACAATATTTGTAAAAACATAATATCTCTTAAAATACAAAATAAATGGCCTCAACGGTAGCTGCAGCAGTTTCTAAATAAAATATACACAACGTAATAGTCATCAAGTCTTAGAAGACAATTCTTGTTACCCAATCGATAAATAAATTAAGCAATAAAGAGCAGATACACTTGCATTCTGCACCTTCACTCTCACCACCAAACATCTGAGGACAGAATACATTAGCTGTAGCTCCAGATGTCGGGAAAGATTAATATCGGTGAGATAGTTTATCAAAAGTGTAGAGAGTTAATCATCTTGTTCCCTTTCTGCTGGCCCTGAATGTATCCTCCATTATCTTTGTTGCACCACCTGTAGATTAATATTGTCATCACCATCACAGCCAGTATTAGCCCTGTTATTCCTCCTGCGATAATGCCTGTGGAGATAAATCACTGAGTAAGAATACCTGGAGCAGCTGAATGGAATGCAGCCATCATTCATTTCCTTATTTACAGCTCATACATAAAATGGTGCAAAGTACCTGCAACGATCTGTTTGTTCTCCAAGAAGCTCATACTGTTTGACACCATAGTGTATCCTGACCTCACGTCTCTGTCAGGCCACAGTGTTCCGGGATGATCCATGATTGTATCTTCCTCTGATGACACTGTAAACAGCGAGAATGAAGCGTATGCAAGTAGTTTTGGAAATAATAATCAGATTCACACAATGCAAAGTGGATCATGATCATAGACTGTAAATAAAGATGGAAGTCCCACTGATACACATGGTCAACCAATCTCAGACTTAGTTGTTAATCTTGGCATTTCACTTGGTTTTTTATATCATCATATGATGATGACAAACTGGACGTGGTCCCATCCACCAGCATGAAGGAGGCAGGGTTTATGACTTATACTGCAGTCAGCCACCAGGAGGCGACCAAGACGTTTTGGCTTCACTTTGAGTAGCTGTCATGTCATCCATCTTTACATGAAGTCTATGATCATTATATATGTTCTGTAAACCCTAACCCCTAAATATTTTATGATGTCAAATATTCTGATAAAAAAACAAAACATCAGCACTAGTAGCCATTATGTTGTGGACATTTTTTATTACTCTATATAACTAGTTTGACAACTTTAAAGCAAGTATACAAGTCTTACAAAGGATTACCTTGCTCTGACCCATCCCCTGAACCATAACCAGACGTGATCAGGTCATAGCCTGATCCCTCCAAGTCTTCAGGACCTTTGGAAATCTGATTTAAAAGAGAACAAGGATATTTTGACTCAGAAATACGTCTGAACCATAGCACCACATGTGCTCCTTCCTGCCCTGTTGTTAGGTCACATGAAAACAGACGAGAGGCGAAGGTAGATTATCAACGTTGTTTCCATGACGAAGCAATAAAGAGCTGAAACACGTACTTGATACAAAGTCCAATTGAGGTGACACAACAACAGACTGTAGCTGAGAGACTGACGCAAGTGTTCGCTGTTATCAACAGTAAAAAAGGCGTGAGTAGAATATATAGCTCCAATTAAAGTGATGAGGTCCCTCCACCCGTTTGACAAATAGGCCAAGGAGCAAGAGTACAGATTTATTGTGAGCAGAATTATATAGCAAACAAATCCATCTGATTATGCTATTATTGATGTAGTTAAATATGTGCATGTAAAAGTAATTGATTCAATTTATTTCATATAACACTTTGTCTAAAGTTAATAAACTATTATTAATACATACAAATAATGAATATAGTCAATTTTCTGCATACAATACATAGTCTAAATCTAAATATTTATTAATTTATACTTCTTTTAATATTTTTCAGATATCTCTTATATTAAGACTTGTTTTTTTATTCAGTGTTTACTGTTTTTACTTAAATCTCTGTTGATGGGGAGACCGAGAGTCTGAGAAATTTCAATTCCTCAATATGTCTGTGTATGTATTGCAGAACTTGACAATAAAGCTGACTTTGACTTTGTCTCAATCTAATCTTATAAAAAACATTGAATATATTTACAACACGTATTATTGATTAATACAAAATAATGAGTATAATAAATGACCTGCATATAACTCTTTGTCTCCAGGTAATGAGTAATAATGGATGGGACATAATGGATATATTCAAAGATCCTTGAGATGCAGTCATTTGTTTGTCACTTGTCAGTTTCTCATGAATGTTTCAGCAGACTCCTGTAATGACTCAGACATTAAGACGAGGAAACTCGACACCTGCAGTTTTCAGTATTCAACACAAATCGAACGATTCAAACTTGATGAGGTTTCTGACACAGACTGTGTTTGAAGTTAACCACGGGTCTTCCTCGCGGCCTCGCGTCGTGTTAACACCCGGAAGTGAGCGCGGTGACGTCTCCTTTGTTTAAACACAGAATAAATCGACTCACCGACGTCCTGACCGGAAGTGTGGAGAGCAGGGAGACGATCAGAGCTGCGGTGAGAGTTCTGCTCATGTTTCAGGTGAGCTTCAGTCACAAGTGTGTTTGTTCCCCTCACACACACACAAACAACCTCCACATACCTCAGGTGTTTTCAGACTGCTGACGCACGCGCACACACACACAGTGACCACGCCCACTGTCACACCTACAGATTTTCACTATGGAAACACCTTTTGTTCACAAGTGCCTCCAACTATTTCACAAGATCATTCCATCGTCCCAGTTTTAACAGCTGATTATGTCGCTCTGGATCTGCAGCTTGTTGATTATTTTAGTCATCTAGTGTTCTATCGATCAGGTAATTGGATAAGAAATACTGTCCTGAGTTCTCATGGTGTATTTCTACTACACAGTTGAAGTTATATGGTGTACAATATTATTCTATAAGAAAATATATATACATTATCATTTGCAACTGATATAAATGTTTATGATTGAAATCCAAGAAATGAATATCAGATTGATAGACCTTAAACCTTAACACCACCAACAATATACCTGGAGACCTGGAGTCCTCTACTCTGGATTATTTAATTCCAAAAATATACATTTCTAAGATTTAAAATCAATATGATGTGAAACCAAAACATGAGGGAAAAAACCACAACAATGCGAGTCAAATGTTAGAAGAACAGTTTAATCATACATAGTCACAATTCTGCTTCCAAAAATGAGTTTGTTTTCTTCATCTAACATCTGGAAATGTACATAAGGCCACCTGAAAATGTACATGACTTTGACAGTGTGACAAAACTCATATGTTCATATTTATATAATTGACAATATTTTACACTGTTTTTGCTTACAAGGTAGTAGCTGTTCCAAAATACAGCACTCTTCTGTACAAAAATAATTCTTGTCATATCCCGTGAAGTTTCCATGGTAGCAGAGAGGACTAAATGCAGCCTCAGTTTTAGTACAGAGTGATTTTTTTTTTTCTTCTCCTTTTTAAACTGTCACACTTCAGAAAGACTATCAACAGTGGATGTTACAGCTCCGGTACAAATAGAGGCTGGCCTTTCCCATAACAGATTAAAAACAAAAACCATGCCAGATTGTGAAGCCATAAAGTTTTTTTTCTTTTTTAAAAATTACACTTGATCAAATAAAACTGTATACATATTATATTCAGGGGGGAAGGAGTGATGAATATACACACATCAAAATGCACATTTTTGCCTTTTTTCCCCCCAAAAAGTGTAAAAGACATCCCATTTACAGCATAAACGTTTACAAATGTACAACTGTACAGACGAAATAAAAGCATCACTACAAATTTAGAGCAAGGCCTGTCAAAACACCACAACTAGACAAATTTTTTTCAGTTAAACTAATAATCTTACACTTATTAACTGCACATATACTACATGTATTCTACAATTATTCATATGAAGCAAAGAAGCCATCACTACGAGCATTACAGGTGAATTGTATAGCTTTTGATGGCCCCACCGACCTCCACCAATGCACTTGCAGACCCAACCAAATGAAACAGAAATTATTAAAAAAAGAAAAACANAAAAAAAAAGTTCTTTCAACATCCCTTTCTTACACTTGTCCCACTACTTCTAATTCATTTCACTTCACGACATTTATGCTCACTACTCTGACCTTCAGGCGGTGGGGGTCCCATCATCGGTGCAAAGCCCCCTGCCCAAAAGCAACAATTTACTCATACATAAAGATGCTATACATTGTTAAACTACTACTACGCAAGAGATGATTATTCAGTACATAAAGATACTGTTTTCTAGGGCAGTGTTCATCTCAAAAACTACAAGACAGATAAGATGTTACACAAAACATGATAAAGAAAAAAAAAAATATTCCAAGGGTTAAAACCTGTCACAGCATGCCAACGCATACCCCGCTCCCTCCCCACTATTCCCACTGGAAAAAAAAAAAAAAAAGAAAAAGAAAGAAGCTCCCCACTACGGTCGTTTTCATGTAAAGATTATACCAGGTTACACACCCGCTGTACAACCAAACCTCATGCTCTGCTTCTGGAAGGTAATGGTAGCTTTTATCTTGCATAAACCCCGAGCGATCACCTGGATGAGGGAAAAGTAAGACGGCTCAAATGGGGGCTCAGTGGATGCAGCAGCTCAGATTTGTCAGGCTGTAATATTTAGTACCAAAAAAACGTCACACGGACGACAAGCTGCTGGGGTAAACGCACGCCTCCCCCCCACTTAGCCTGGAAAAGGAGGCAAGAAAAAGCCACCACCACTGGAAAACACTACCCTAGACTAAAGCACCAATCCCCAAAGCCAAGCTCGCAAACCGGTCTCGAAGACCTTTGAATGCCTGTGGCACGTGACACATAGTACTCACCTGCGGATGGAGGAGGTAACCTCCACCCATACTATGCAGTGCTATTGAAAACTAATCCATCAGCTGCTTTGGCATGGGAAAACACTTTTAACTGTGCATGGGATAATATACAAATATTCAATTGCCAAGATTTAATCAGAACAGTTGACGCAAGTCTTGTTACAAAAACAAATGGAATTGTTTTTTTTGTTTTAAAGGATCTCTCAGTTTAGCCTTATAAAGTCACTTGCTGGTGTTAATTGTAAGAATTGTAAATTTCAGCAAATGTGTAATAAGATTTTTTTTCTACAGAGAATTTACAAGGTAAAAAACTAAATGTACAAGTTAATATGAAAATCATTCAAATACATCAATTACATCATTAACAGTGGGCTTGTGCTTTACCCAGGAGGAAAAAAAAAAAAAAAAAAAAAATAAAAAAAAAAAAAAAAAAAAACGAAAACGGCCTGCTTACTTTGTTTACCCTTGGGGCCACGCTGGGGACCTGCACCAGGGGTGGCAGAGCGGCAGGGGTCAGTTGTCACAGCGTTCTTAGGTGAGGTTGACTTGTCTTTTTATGTTTTTTGGTAATTCCCAAAAAAAATGGGATGTCAGAGGGTGTCAAAGGCCCTATGGCTAAGGAGCATCTCTCACAGAACAGGGGGTTTGGGGCTCCTCCTCCTCCTCTTCTTCTTCTTCCTCTTCCTCAGGGGGCCCAGGATGTGGACGTGACTACATGAGGCCATTCGCAGGGCCGCCGATAGGACCCAGTTCAGATCCACTCTTCATGTAGTACTTTTCTAGCTTGGCCAGAATGTGCTTCCCGTAGGTGTACTTGCGCAAAGTAGCGATGTGAGGCCGGATCTAAAAAAAAAAAAAAAAAAAAGAGAGGAAAAGGGTCAGTGTTAAAAATCAATCTTGTTTAAATCAGGTATGAAACCAATGTAGAAATATTCTGAGGCTTTAAAGTGTTTGATAGCTAAGTTTTTTCACCCTCTAAAAACATTATGCAAAGCTTCAAAACAATCATTGATCAAACTTTTTTTTTTTTTTAAACAAAGAATAAAGCTTAAGTGAAACTCAGGACGACTTCAGCCCTGTGTGAAAAGACAAATCCCCTGGATTCACTTGAATGAGGACAGCCAAGCTTTGAATGCAGGAATTTCTGGCAATGTCATCCACGAAAGACAAACAGTGCATTTTGTCTACTCCACAACTGCTGCAATGCAAAATTAAAATAAATCCTGTATCACTGCGCAGTGTCGGATGGGTCTTCAAATGCACTGATGCATTATTCACACAGGTCTGTCTGGATTGTAATTCATGTGTCGATGCTACATGAAGCAGTTTTACTTTCTCTGTCTGAAAGCTGCAGAGGGATCAATATTTTCTGATGCTGTTAAAGGCCCTACACGCCCAGAGAAAACTCTCTTGGGTATAACTCTATTTGCTAAACTTTCATTTAATCGGCTTCTCTTGGGTATGTAGGCATTTAAAATGTTGGGTTTGTGTTGCACCTGTTACTATAAGACGAGTTAAACATTTGCATGTGCAGGAGCTTCAACAGTTTCATCTTACAAAATGTTCCTTTAGTCCAAATATGAATTCAGATGGACCCTTTCTGTGCAAAGTCTCTGTCCATGTGTTTGACCCACCTTGTGCATGATGATTTTGCGCTGAGCGGGTTCTGCCATGTCAATCATTCTTTGGACAACATAGTTGGCATACTGGTCCTTCATCATTGTGTACAGGGCGCTGTGAGGCCCGTCTTTCTGGCAGCACACTTCATCGATCAGCAGAGCTCTTTCGGCACGCGAAGAATGGATCACACACTTCTCAACAACATTACTGAGGAAAGACAGAGAAACTTTGATTAAACACACACCAATTCATGACCGAGCTGACGGAGACATAGTGATGAACAGTCTGAGAAGAATCCTGTTGGAATATTTTTCTCTTGTTTGGTTTGCTTTGTATTTGTGGCATTATGTTGGTAAAATGTTTAAAAGGCTTATAACAGACTGGACAAGTTTCCCAGTGGAACAATTTTCAATCCCTTGCTAACCTAACATTTTGTGGTTGTGAGCTTTCCATTCAATTGAAGCTGTTGGATATCTTTTTTGGGGTGGGTCAGGGCCAAAGGCAAGGTAGTGTGACAAACCACAGGAGGTGCAACCAAACAAAAAGAAGCACCCTGTGATCCAAATGAAAGAATGTGTCCAAATCTATTTTAAATACTCACTGCTCAACCAGCTTCAAATAGTGATTTCATCATTTGCAATGTTTGCTGAGGTGCATGTTTTAGAAACTTTAAAACAGTATAGGTAATCATTCTATTATTTTCAAGTATGCAAACAAATTTAATTCAGATATTAGATATTAGGTCAAAAAGATGATTGTTTTAATGCAAGTACCAGTTTGTCTTGGCTATGGAACATCATGACACACCAAGTCATCCAAACTCAACACCAAATCAGTATCAGGTTCCTTTAAGTGGTTCCTGCAGTGAGTCTGTGGTCAACTAAATGTCATGTTACTGAGCTGGTTGTCATATATGCATCATTGGGGTTTCCGACCTCTGCAATATTGAGAAACAGAGACAGAGTTTCCCACAAAGTGAATTAAATCTATGGCAGTTATGGGTGTTTACGTGCATGAAGGTCACTCTCCCATGAAGCAGATTCTGAGTGACAGGTACACAGACCAAAGTGTGACAAATCAGAATATGGCAGGCCGCCACAGACTAGATAATGAATGGGAAACACTGAAAGATGTCCAGCCTACTACAGTTAATTTCACAACAAACCTGACTGAATGTTTGTTTACCATGTTTAAGCAGTGAATTTATGACTATAGTAACAACAGAGGACAGTATTATGTGTCATTTGTGAAAACCTGAAACAACATTAAGTATGTTACATGACACCCTGGTAATTTAATGTTCTTCTGGGGACAATTTGTGAATAAAATGTGTATTGTCAGACAGCGGTGAGGTCACCCACAGGGAGTAAATATAATCCCTCCCAGTGAAAAAACCATACCTTGCAAATTTGTGTTGGCTCAGGACAAGGACCTTTCCTCGAACCTCTGCCACTATCTTGCTCTTATCTTCCGGTCGGCCATGCTCCAACACGTGCTGAATGACGTAGTTACCATACTGATCCTGTAGGAGGCAGTGGAGGTGTGAGCTCAAAGCAAACAGCCATTTTATCACTTGAAAGTCACAATCGGTGCGACACCCTTCACTCTGATGGATACTCATGCACTACGTTTCACCAGTGGTCTTGATTGGTGTAAGATAAATCATGCAGAACTACAATGATAGGTCGACGACTGAGTGACACCCCCATTTGTAGACTTTTAATACCCTTACGTCATCACTGCGGAAGGTCAGACAAAACAGATGCTGCTGGTTTGGAGCGTTGCTGACCAGGCAACAACCAAAAGCATCTTTGCCCCTTCAGAAACGGGTGATAGACAGTTATGGGTGTAATTTTAGCGACAAGATGGAGGCAAAGACTCACCTGACCAAGCAACAAATAACACCACTCTCCAATCGATACTTGTTAAGGGGGGAATTTGTTGGGTAGGTATATGTAAACTTTAATTGTAAAGCATTGACCTTCAAATCCATTTCCTGTCAATCTGTTTTAACAAGAACTTGCATTTTTTTTTCTTAAACTTGAGCCCTCGAATGGCTTGAGGTGAAAAGTGTTTTTGAGCACCACTTCAGTTTGATCCTCTACTTTTAAGTGAAATTGGGGAGGTAACAGTAAAACAAATTGATCAGGAAATGCTGTAGGCAAAAAGAAGCATGTGCCTTGTGAATCCTCTGTGGCATTAAGCAAGTGAAGGGAAAAGTCAAGAAAAAAAAGATAGCTCAATGGGTTAGGAGAAGGCCTATGAAAGTCAGGAGTTTGAGAAATATCTAAAAGTGTTAAAAAAAAGACAGGATTAAAAAAGGGGAAAGAGGAAGGGAGCACAGGGACATCCGCGAGAGAGAGGCAAATTGCTCTGACCTTGAACAGTGCATCGCGGGACACTGTATAATATGTTTTGGGTGTCATCTCCAATGATACGCCTTGATATTTCTAGATGGAATAAGTGAGGGGGTAGGGTGGATGTTTAAATAATCACATGTCAGATGTAATGACAGCTAACAGTACAATTACATTCATCCTTACACTTTACACTTAGCAGACCACAACAACAAAGGTACAAAAAGTATGTGAAATGTTCAAACACGAAGGAGACATGCAAAAATACACAAGACAAGCACATACATGTCAACAATGATCAACATGAAGAAGACTGGAGACAGATGTGCTCACCTGGCCCAGCTGTTCAGAGTGCTGATGCAGCTCTTCCAGGATGGGGAGAGTCTGCTCCTGAGTGCAGTGTTCCAAAATCCTTTGGATCACTCTGCAGCCGTAAGGGTGTGTGGACAACACAAACACCTGTGAGAGGAGGTCAAAGAGAGAGCAGAGCGGTTTAAAAACAGCTTCACAAACAGTTCCATAAAGCATTTTCAAGGAGAATCTTAAATGTATCCTGTGGCAGTTTTGAGCAGTAGTTTTTTTAACGTGGGTGACGAAAAACACTTTCCTGGCAATTAATAAATCTGCAAGTGGTCTTAATGCACCAGCAAAGGCAGGAAAGAGGAATAAGGAACATAGAGAAAGCAGATTTGTGGGTTGTATAACTTTGTGGTCAGGCCGGCCTTTCACATTCATCAGAACATAACCCTGTAATCTTTGTGGCTTTTCAAAATTAACACTAAAAGTGTTTTAAGGAAGCGTTACCAGAGAATAAATTCAAGAGTGTAGATTGTTTGATGCTCGTTACTGCGGTGGCCTCATGATTCACTGTTTGCGTCTTCCCCATATCTAACACAGTGGCTCTAGTCAAAGCCAAGAGGGACATTTTGTTTGTGGAAAAGGCCTTTTAACCTGAAATGCAATAGATTTCATCTTGATTGAAATCACCTGAATGTAAACAATGAATGCATGAGATTTAGATAACATTCACTTCCACAAAGAATTGTCATGGCTGGCTCATAACAAGTAGAGGCTTGATTGGCAGTTGCATATACATTTTCAAGACTAAGACTCTTCTCTTCATAAACTCACCTGGCCCTGGAAGGCGTCAATAATAAACTGAAGCGCCTGAGGTTGGACACACTCAATGCACTTCTGTACCACATGGTTCCCGTTCTGGTCCTTCACACACTTTAACACGTGGCCATCCAGCTCACGGACAATGTCGCTCTAAAGTGATGAAATTATGGAACAAAGACAAAATATTAACAAATGTCACTGTGTCAAAAAACAATTGAAGAAAAGGTTAAAAAAAGGGAAAAGTTAAGAAAAGACAGCAAAAACTATGCTCAAAAGAATTGAAATCTCACTTACAATTACCTGCTGGTCTGAGGAAATAGACTCCAGGGCTTTCTGGATGACTCTACAACCATACATCTGCAAAGCCAGTGGAAGTACATGGCCACGAATACGTGTTGCCAAAGCCAGTTTCTGGTCGGCACTTCCAAACTGCATGAAATACAAACACAGTAAATTGTTAACATGCTCCAACACAGAATCACTGTTCTAGTTAATATTGTGTGAGAATGAATTTACACCAGGATGAACTTTCAAAGTCCAAACCTCAAAAAACTTTTGAATGACATAGTTCCCAAAGACATCAGTCATCAGCTGGTATGCTGCTTGCAGAATCTCTCCAAACACCATCTGCCTCTCAGCAGGAGTGGCCCTCTCTAGCTTCTGCTGGATAAACCTGGATTCAATAATTAAAATAAAATATTAGTCACATTTTAGCACATCGACACAGTTTGCTCGCCCTGAATAAAGCCAAATTTCACCCACCTGGATCCATGTTGGTCTTGAGAGAACTCCACCATGTGTCCTGGAAGGTCACGGAGCTGGAGGTTTGGGAAGCGGTTGTTTCTGAAGTCTTCCAGTAGACGGCTGCGTCCGGACGGCATGACATCAGAGCGACTGTAACGGGGCCGAGACGGAGGGAACAACTGGCTGCTGGAATTGAACAGACTGGATGTACTACCAGCACTCCGGTACTTTGCCTCAGCTCCAGGTGCTGCAGAGATGTAACGCCCGCTGCCATTAGTCAGGCCACCTAGGATTATAAAATGATTCAAATTATGACTACAATAATGAAACGTAAGTAGTTAAAGGTTATAGCTTTGTGGAGCAGCATTTTAAATAACCATAAAATGTTACACTGGTGAAATGTCTTATTAATACACAATATTAAAGTACTTCCTAACCCTATGAACATAAAGAAGCTTACCAAGGTGAAGGCTGGAAGAGGATCCATGGGAGGAGGGCAAAGAAGGTGGAGGAGTGAGTGGGGAGTGACCGGGTGTAAGGCCAATAGGACTGGGTGAAGAGGAGTAACCCAGGCTGTTGTAAAAGGGCTGACCAATGGGAGTTAAATTACTGCCACCGCGTTTGTACAGGTCAGAGCTTGCCAACAGAGAGTCCCTGCGAGTTACACTGCTACTGGTAGAGCTGGATACTGTAAGAAAAAAAAAAAAAAGAAACGTGTGCCAGTGTAAGAAACAAAAGATCAAAAATTTACTGTTTTTAATAAAATTAGCTTGTGGCCGAGTCACTGACCAGATGAGCCGAAGGCTCCAAGAGCTGAGCCTAGGCCCACGCCAAGAGAACCGCCGGTGTTGCTGAAGCCCAGGGAAGAGCTTGGTGGTGGGGCAGCGGAGGTGTGTGAGAAAAGAGAGCTGCTTTGAGAAGTGTTGGGGACCGATCCAGAGCCGTAGAATGAGCTGGAGGGCAGGCCGCTGCTGGGCGGGGGAGCCTGCTGCTGCTGCTGTGGCTGGGGTTGAGGTTGAGGCATGGAACGGTACAGCCCGTTAGCTGGAGGACCAGACATGTTGTTGCCAGACCCAGATGCAGACACCGCAGCTGCTGGCAGGAGGGGTGAGGTCAGTATTGGGGGGTTAAAGGAGAAACACGGTCAGAATGGTTCAGACTGGTAATGATTAAGTAAGAGGGAGGAAAGGCTGTGTGGCTTTCACGTGATATAATTATACCAGTGACATTTAATTTAAAAGGACTAGAAAGTCACATTGATACTATTCAAGTGGCACAGATCAAATTTAATCTCTGAAGTTCAGTAGCAAACAAAGTCCTTCCAGAAATGAGCTTGTCTAACCCTGATGCCTTATTTTCTACAATAGCAGGATTTCAATCACAAAACAACAGCGGTTTTTAAAATGAGAGCCAATGAGTTTAGACTCGTCACCTTAAGTCCTGTATTCACATATTAAAAATGATCATGAGAGATGGATCAGTGCCTACCAGCCTGAGCTGCAGCAGCAGCAGGGTTGATGAGTAGAGGGGTCTGGACAAGACGCATTGGCCCACCGAGACCAGTTCGGGCACCGGGGCCCATCACCAGAGCTCCAGTCTGGTCATAGTAAGCTGCAGGAGCCAACACCTGATAACCTGATGAGAAAAATAAACAAATGAAACATTACTGGTTATAACTGTGCAATTAAAGTAGAATTATTATTTCAAGAGTTGTTATAAAAACACCCGAGTTGTGAAGATAACTGTGTTTGGTTGATAGCATCTTTGGGTAAGTGCTAGCGTGTAGTGGTCTACTAACCAGACATTCCTGTGTATGCCAGTGCAGGGTTTGCAGCAGCTGCTGCAGCTAGAGACTCTTGCTGACTTTGCTGGCCTTGCCCAGGCGTAAGAGGTCGCTGGTTGTTTCCTGTGCGCATTACCTGAGGGAGAAGGCAATTATGTTGTTCAACCCACAGGCTGCTGAAGCTCTTCATTAAAAGCTGTCAAGAGTAAAATAAAGCCAGTAACAACTCGTGAGGTGCCTAGAGATTCTCAACCCTACTCTTCAATGAGATATAATAGTGTTAATGTTAATGCTGCTCACAGCTGGTTTAGTTTTAACAAATTGTCCAGACAAATTATCCCCTTTGGTTGTGACATTCAGAATTGTAATGACTAGAATTCATATCAAATGCAAAAAATATGGCTTCTTGGTTATCATCACAGACCAGAGAGAAACTCTGGGAGCCCATTGCAGATTCCTTCAGGGGGCTTTCTCATTATCTTGTGCTATATCACTTATCTGCTCTGCTATGGTTCTTTGAGACAAGCTGACACTTCGGAACATTTTTATCCACTGCAGCAAGAAGCCACTCCTTTACAAATTCTCCATCTGTATGAAGTTTCACTCTTTTAGCTATTGGCTCACTCACCACAAGACTTGCCTGCATAACATTGTCTCGGTCAGAGCATGGTCTTGTTGGTAACACAAACTCTGCCAAAGAACATCTACTATATCCAAAATCACATGTCCTTGAAACTCGTCCAGTTCTGCTGCATGGGTCCAGCTGTGGACGCTCAAGATTAGCCCTTTTCATCATTGTATGTGCCTACAAACAGCTTCACAAGTGTTTCCTTTACCACGATTGTGACCCGACAGGCATGCAGACAGTGGGACCCGCCCTGTCGGACATACTAGTAATAATGAATTGCTGTCATTAGAATTTTTTGCATTTTTGAATTCCCTTGCAGGCCAAATTGAGTTAGCTGGAAGTTCTCTACCCCTGATATACAATAACATGGTACAAGGCAAATGAGAAATGGAGTTAACAAACTAAGTCTGTGTAAAGCAGCCAGACTTCAGTATATAAACAACTCGTACCTGTTGTTGGCCTGGCCCTGGTCCCTGATTGGATGCTTGCTGATTAGCTGAATGATTGGCATTAGATGCAGCCTGCTGCTGGAAAAGATTAGCAGGGTACACTCCCCATGGAACACCGTAGTACTGTGGTGGAACCACTGTGGGCCCTGAGGAAAACATTCTGATGTTACATATACATCTTATACAACTGAAGACAGAAGATGCATGAGAAATGCAGAAATAAACTGGGAAGATCACATGATCTGAAAATGTGCTGTGTGATCACCTGCAAGTGTGGCTGCGGCTGCCAGCCCAGCTGCAGTGTAGGGATCGGTTCCAGGGGGGCCAGCATTGATGATGTAAGGGTATGCGGGAGCAAGGCCAGCTGGGTAATATGAAAACAGCCATGTTACTTATATTTCCATATTAAATCTAGCCAACTTGAGACTAATAGTACTTAAATGAATGATACAAATAGCGTGACTTACCAAGATGCTGCTGCTGGGCTGCAGCCAGGGCATATTGTTGTTGCTGAGCTGCAGTGAGTTGTTGAACAGTCAGCTGATTAGATCTCTGGAACAACTGGGAGGGAAAAAGCACACAAAAAAAGCATCACAGTCTGTTGAGCTTACTTACAGTTAGATCTCTAAATAGATGTGTTTTGTGTTTCAACAGACCTGCTGCTGAGAGGTGTAGTCAAACAATCCTACTGGAGTCCCCGAGGAGTCCACCTGAATCTGGTTCCCAGCGTAGTCAAACTGAAGGGACTCCACATTGGCTTGCTGCTCCATACCTCCCATGTTCTGTGCCTCCTGGTTCTGGAAATCCTCAGCAGGAGCCTTGTTTTGAACAGGGTTCTGTTGTTGGAGGGCGTGGGGGTGGTGCTGTACCATCATCTCTAAACCTGTCTGAATTGGGCCCATCCTCTCCACAGCCTCCGTGGGGGAAGCTTGACGGCTTCCAGGTGTTGGACTGGGAAATCAAATACATTGAACATCAGCATGTTTGCTAGATGAGTAATACAATTTGCTCCAGACAGCATATCTAGTAGGACGGTAACGGTACATTGGTTCCAACTAAACAAAATTTTCGGCCCGGGCCTTTCGGTTCGGTACGCATGTGTACCGGAAATAATCGAGCCCCTGTTACAAAGTTCCTTCTTGTCCGCATTTCAGCCATGAGTGTTTACTTTGGCTGTGTCTTTCTTACCTAAATAGTTTTTACAGAGTGAGCCAGGGTTGAAAAAAAATAAATTAAAAAAATCTGTTACGTTTTTCTGTTCCCCGTTTCTTCTTTACCGAAAACTTAGTGAATCGTGACATCAAAAGGTACGTACCAAACTGTGCATTTTTGTGTGCCCCTAATGTCTAGTAACATCAAAAGCACAAAGAAATGGGTAAAGGTTCACTTTATGTTAGAGTTAACAGGGAAACCTACTTGAAGTCTTTGCAGTCTCTGTCCATGCCGTTTAATAGACTTCTTCCGTTGGCTTTCGCCGGATCACTCTCCTCTCCCACCTTCATCTCTGGGCTCTTATCCTCTTCAAATGGGGAGATTTTCTCTTGAGCATCACTCTTCTCTCTCCCATCTGGGTCAGCGTCTCCTCCACCCTGTATTCACAAATTTATTAGATAACTGACCATAAGCCACACTTGAGAATAAGGTTAGAAATAAGTAAGAGAATTTGACTTACATAGCCTCCGTTCCGGTAGCGACCATCCATCTTGTCACCAGGAGAGGAGCTCAGGACGTACTCCACCATGCTCACACCCAGGCCTCCACCTTCTGAGCGAGGTGAAAGCACAGAATTGGCATCACCATTGCCATGGAAACTCTGGCCTGGTCGCCGCTGCACCATGATTGGCTGAGACACTGAATGATCTGAATGAAAAGTCGTGATCAAATGTCTAACAGTGTATACCAAAAAAATAAATAAAAGCTTTACAAATCCCCAGTCAGACAAAAACAACACAGCTAATCATGGTCAATAGCCACTCACGAGATGTTCCCCAGGCAGTGTCCCTCCACTCCTCTCCAAGGAGCATCCCTTTCCTTCCATCTTTCGCCATCTCATCAGAATCCCAAAGCTTTTTTGCAGGCAAGAGCTGAAAATAAAAGTGTACACATTTTCTAAACATCTGTAGGATATCTAAATGTGGAGCAATTAGTATTGCATATATACAGAATTTATTGTTTGGTCGTTTTACAATTTATGTAGACGTTGATGGTGACAGGAGAAATTCCAGTTCGCTATTCTTTCAAGCCAATTCTGCACTTAGGGTACAAATGTAGTGAATGCTGCCAACTCTGTGGAAACACAGGTGCTTCTAACCTAGCTCAAGGCCACCCTCAGACAGCTACAAGGTGAATTCGAAGTCCTAATCATTAACGTGTCCTGCAATTCACATTAGTTATCGAAGCTAGCTGCATTCTTCAACCCATGAGCCAAGTTATCTACCGCTAAACGTATAAATGAAATAAAAAGCATCCGCCTGTGGTTTGTAATCCACTTCTTCTCTGTCCATATTTGCTGAAATGTGAAATACAGCTTTATGCTTCACTATCAATTCTTAACACACGACACTGTCAAAGTGTAAGTTGATTTGTGTCTGAGCAGCCGACCCCTTTGTCGGCTACTCTTCCATTAGTCACAATAACTGCTTTGTTGCAGCTTACTCTATTCTCTACAAAGCAGCAAACTACAGATGTTCTAGAGCCAGATTTCAAGCCACGACAGAGTGTTTCACAAAAAACGATTTTGGTTCATTGCTGTACCATAATAGAGAAAAAGATGAACGTTCAGGGAAAAACCTCCTTACCTCTCCCATGCCCCTTGACTCCAAAGCAAGGGCTTGAAAGTCATAGTTCATTTCATCCAAAGGACGGTTCTAGAAAAGAGAGAAAACCGGTTTTTAAAGGTAACATTTTACAGAACAATTTTGATTTAATAACATCTAAATCAAAATCATTGCATTGTTAAAAAGAAAACCAAAGGCACCAGATAAAAGAGTACAAATTAGAAGCAGTACAAAGACTTCAATTAATTCTTTTTATTGCAGCACACAACCACCAAATGGGTTTTAACTCACTTTTTTAAGAGAAGTAATAAAGGCCAAATGTGAACTTTTATTAAGAGGCCCTTAAGTCAATTCAATATAAAGCCCCCCCGTAGAGAAAAACATAATACTTGAGTTGAGCATTGAACTTTTAGTGTATTTTTAAGGGTAATGACAGAATTCAGTCAATATTAGTACATATTAATGTTAAATCAAACAGTATTGAATATCTGTACCAGAGGGCACATATGGGTGAAAGCACAACAGAATATGGATAGAAAGGAACAGAGAACGAGACAGTACGGGAAAACAAACATACACTCAGAGGAAGTGAGCGTGATGTCCTGAAATAATCCTCATTTTTGTGAGTGGTCACATTATGCGTCATATACACTGGGAAAACAATTTGAACTGCAACTTTCTCATCCCCCTATAACCATCTGACAGTGTAACTGCATTTGGATGTTTTCCAAAATTTTTGTTGGGTTGGACATCGGCAGAGCACTCAGTTATTGTGGTCACTAGTCAGCTGACTAGGTCCATAATTATTTTCTCTGAGGGTTAACATTTGTCATACTTCCTTCAGTCTGAACTCATCTGTGTCGGTTGAAAAAGTAAAAATCCTAACCCTAACTTGTTTTACTCATCATTAATGAATTCCCTCTGTGGCTGCAAAACATGTTACACAAGACTTCAGAAACTCCTGCAGGTTAAACTGGAATAACCAAACAATTCCTAACTGATTAACTATAAAGCAGACTTGAACACGCTCACTACAATTACAATATTAAGGCTTTAAAGAACCAATAATACGACTGTAGATACACAAGTACTCACTCCATTCACAAAGAATCTGTTGTAATAAATGAACATGTGATTGTTTGGCCCTGAATTCAAAGGGAAAAAGGATGAAAAAAAACATCTGACAGTTGAAGTTACTAACCGGAATATCAACTTTCTGATTTGAATTTGGACATACAAGAAACGCATATCTGTACAGTGGCTCAGTGGTAATCACTTGTCAAGGCAGACAATTTGAGGCCCTTTATGGGGAATCCACTTGCATTTACTTTTTCCTCACGTGAACCAAAGACATGCAGGTGAGGCCCGGTGGGTGTGTAGCAACAAGTACCAGTAAGAAGATCCCATCTAATTCAGGAAAGAAACTATAACCAAAGAATAGGATATTAAAACTCAGCCCAGTTTTACCACAAATGTTGTGACCTAAGCACTGGTCTCACATGTTCTGAACACTGTGAATGACAAGGCTTTGTTTGTATTTTTAATACAGACCTTGTAACAAACAGGTTAACTGTCCTCTGTGCACTCAACCTTTCACCCTGTGTATGATGCACTCCACTGCATTAAGCTCTACAGGCAAAAGCCAATGACATTTTTAGTTTGCTCCAACTTCAATATAACAAACCTAAAATAAAAGGTAATTAATTAATGTCTGGCACCTGGTTTAAATCACAATACATTAACAGTGCATGTGGAAAATTTGACCTTCCAATGGGAGGCTGTAATTGTTTTGGTTCTACTCAATTGTGCATCCAAACAACACCCCTGAGAGATAAAGACACCACAGAGATAAGTTATAAGTTGCAGAAAATTATACAAAAAGTAATTGAAGTCTTCCAAATAAAGGCTTTTTACCTGGTCAATATGATTGGCATCTCCGGTAGGCCAACGATGTTTACTGGGAGTGCAACCGCCAAGCTGCTCTCCAGGCTGCCTCTGAAAGAAGTATCCGACTGTGGCGTCATCCTGAGATCGTCCACTCAGCAGAGGCTGCGGGGTACCTGGGGTGGGGTTGGCTACCCTGTCCATGCCTTGTAAATGAGTGCCTCCTGGAGCCTGTCCAGCTCCTCCAACTGAGGTTAGGGGCCCTCCAACGTGAACTCTCACACCTCCGGTCTCAGGAGCACCATTTGCATGCAGCATCCCACCTCTTGTCTCCTGCCAGGCCACGTCATTCATACCTAGGATGCTGCATGGAATGCTCATTCCACGGGAAAGCCTGAACAAAACGTGACACTTTGGTTAATAAATGACCGTTGAAATTCAAACTGACCTTTATTAAGTTTAGAGTACAGCTGGGCAATATAACAATAATTATCACCATTTAATTATTAATTTTCTTTGATGGCATTTTAACAAAGAATATATATATATATATATATGGGATGTGTTTTCATTGTGTAAGCACAGTGAGGTGGTTTAACAAATGAATGTTCTACCTCAGATTTGTTCTACCTGTACCAGGGTGACCATGTGACAAATAACAGATCCATGATTTAAGTTATCGTCTGTAATAAACACCTGATATAACAAGTCAGTTGTTGTACCTGATGGACTTTCAAGTTCTGAACTCAGTAGAACATGTGGCCTTCACAACTCACTGTTCTGGGAACATTTGGACAAACCACCTTTTTTTAAATGACTCAAGGAAAAACTTAATACAACTAATACTCTACGTCGGGACATGACTAATTGCTGTTTTACTTATTCCGTGCCTTGGGTGACACGACAGTAGATGATTCCTTGAATATATGTTTCCATTACCCGCTCTGTGACGCCACATTAACGCTGAACAGGAAGTTTAATGTATCTGTTATGTTATAGGGGAACAACCCAATAACTAAACAAGTGACTGTCAGTGATGTTGAGGTCTTGATTTAACAAGAAAACAAGCGAGGTATCGTCGTGAGCCTGGTGTTAGCTAGTGACCATAAAGCTAACGTAACGCTACCACCATTGTAATGTTATAATGACTAAACGGGGAGTCGCAGGCAATCGGCTATGGTGATTTAACCACAGTAACGGTGTCTGATGTCTTTTACAACAATTAAACAAGTTGCAACGTTACATCAGATTCTAATCTATTCTCCTTGTGGAAAACCGGAGTGCAAACCTCCGGCTAGCAGGCTAGCTAGACTAGCCTAGCCCACCTAGCCAGCAAGACCGCTGCTAATAAGCGAGCTAATTCTACGGTTTTAATTCAGGGTGAATGCAATGGTTGTTTTAAAATGTCAATTGTTAATAGCTCCCGCTCTTGGCGTCTTTCACTCTTTGAGCCGATTCATTTATTTACACTGAAGCTAATCGGACATGTTCAAGTGTAAGCGAGTGCTACAAGACAGCGGGGGAGCATTAGCAACATCCTTAGCTAACCAGCTAATGCTAACCGCAGCGGGCCTGCTGTTTATTATTGCCACACATCAGCGTTTAATTCGTAAATTCCCCCCCGATTGTTTCACAGTCAACTCGTTGGCTCGTGTGTCGGACTGGACACGAGCTCCCCTCTCGACTGGAAATACCCAAAGAAGCTGTTCCGCAACGAGCCAACAGAACCGACGCGGCTAACAGCGAGGGGTGGGCTAGCGAGTGCTACTTTGCCTGGTCGGTGCTGTGCGAGCTAAAACATTAAGCAAACACTCGGCAGGCTAAACAACATGGCCCCCCTTCAAGTCCCAAACAGAGGGGCCTTAACCGCTAAACAAAAGGGGAAACGCTCACAGCATCGCAGTCGCCTGTGGATCAGTCCGGGGTTTTTTATTTTTTTTTTATTTTAAATTAAACGCGTTTGCTCCCGACGTGGAGGAATAAAGAGGAGATACTCACGCGTTGTCGTGTAGAGAGACGGTCTCTGCTCGTCGCACGCCGTCAAGCCGAGTCGATATTGTTTTGTTTCCTTGGAGAAGGCGGTGATTTAGCAGCGGCTGCTAGTCGGAGCTAAGAGTTTGCCTACGCCAGTGCCCCCTCCCTGTAAATAGCGTGAACTGCGTAGACATGCGTAAATGAGCCTCCCCCGACGTACCTTCTTTTTATTGTAGAATACACATGAGACTAACGCACTTAAAAAAAAAAAAATGTATATTGAATGTGCTTGGTAACCTATAATTAAAAAAATAATATAAATCAGCACCGGGTCATAAGTGTTGGTTTGATGCTCGCTCACATCGCTGTTGCGTCTCATTTGAATGGATGTGTATTGGACACCGGCTAATTTCATTATAGGGACGATGTTGCCTTAGAGACAAGAGTGTTAAAAGTTGATGCAAGATGTCCAATGAGGGGCGCAATCTATTGTATTTCAATGACACACACACACAAAAAAAGAAAAGTTATTCGTGATGGTAACAGATTTGGCCGGTTTAGGCTGATCCTGGGTCAGGTGGGTCCTCGTGCTCCGCGACCATCCTCTGCACAAGGAAAAGCGAGGAGATCCAATCACCTCCTCCATTACGCGCAGTGAGCTCACCTCCCCATTTCCGATTGGGCTGCTATATTTAGGAAAACCACCCTTCGCTTTATAAGGAGCAGTGGCGGCTGGGAAAGGGCTGTGAATTCAGGAAAGACAAGTCGGAGCAGTCACATGTAGAGAATCACAAGTGGAGGGAGTGGATGTGAAGAGTGTGTCCGTGTGTGTTTTCGGATGGTACGGTTGAGCCACAGCTAGGAAAACAATGGCGGGGATGGCAGACATACGCAAAAAACTTGTGGTGGTGGGGGACGGCGCATGCGGGAAGACGTGTCTCCTGATCGTGTTCAGCAAGGACGAGTTTCCAGAGGTTTACGTGCCCACGGTGTTTGAGACATATGTGGCGGACATAGAAGTGGACAACAAGCAGGTCCAACTGGCTCTGTGGGACACCGCTGGACAGGAGGACTACGACCGCCTGCGCCCCCTCTCATACCCGGACACAGATGTCATCCTCATGTGCTTCTCCGTGGACAGCCCGGACTCGCTGGAAAACATCCCCGAAAAGTGGGTCCCCGAAGTCAAACACTTTTGTCCGAATGTGCCTATTATACTAGTGGCCAACAAGAAGGATCTGCGCAACGACGAGAACGTAAAGAACGAGCTGTCCCGGTTGAAGCTGGAGCCCGTGAAAGCGGAGGATGGCCGCGCCATGGCCATGCGCATTGGCGCATATGACTATATGGAGTGCTCGGCCAAAACCAAGGAGGGGATCTGGGAAGTGTTCGAGAGCGCAACACGGGCGGCCTTACAGAAACGAACCACACAGCAGGGTGGTTGTCTCAAATGCTGCGTGTTGATGTGAATCCACTTCCTCTGTCTGGAGAACCAAGAGTGCGCAGAAGGACTTTGGCACCTCCGGGGTGTGTGTCTGAACATGTACGGGCAGTGACCACGGTGTGGATACTCCCATGAAAGCAGGCGACCCTGGCTGAATGACTGCAAACAAGTTGTTTTTGAACACACTCGACGATCATCTGATATCTGTGTGTGTGTGAGTGAGAGAGAGAGAGAGAGAGAGAGAGAAAGAAAAGCAAGCACTGGTCACAGTATGTTCTTTGTGGGTCACATGATCCCAGTCTGACTTGTGGAGGACAAACCACATCGTGCAACGTTTCAGTGGACTCCTCTACCCAGTGTCTGCTGTGTGGACAGGGCCTGCTTCCAGCCACGATTTTAATTTCACACTGTTTTGTGCTTCAAACTGTTTTTAAAGGCCACTGCCTCACTGCCACGGTTATACTTTGTAATAAGCAAAGCAGAAAGAAATTGCACTCGTTATTTATGTCCATGTGTATTGTAAAAAAAACAAATACTGTATTCAATTTGGTAGATTGCACAGCACCTGTAAATTTAAGCAATTTACAGAGAGTTTTATAAAGACTACAAATCGGTGTAAGGAGACCCCCGGTGTTCTGTATAGCTTCTTCTCGTGTTTTATTCCATTAGTTTACAGTCCATGAAATCAGCTGTCTCAGGTCTGTCAGTAGGAACAACATCAGGAAGTGCATGTTTTTGACTCCACAGTATTATTAAGTTTAATAGATGTTATGCAACCGGGCACATTTCACCACTGATGGAGTAAACTACACATCGACTAGTCTCAAAAAGGGCTTCACATATTGTCCAGTGTGTTTTGTTTAAGTTAAGTGGGCAAGGAAACAGTTAACCATGTGTTGCAAGATATATTTCTTTTTATGAAGCATTCTTCCACCCTCAACTTTATGCTTGGCTGTGACAACAGTGACTTGTTTGGGAAGGACATTAATGAAATAGATGCTTTCTTTAACATGGATTATTACAACTATGTAAGATAAAGCAAAGAAGGAGAATGCTTTTTTAAATCTCAGTACATATATGAACTCTTGAAATCTAGACTTCTCCAAGTCTCTAAGACGCTGACATTTTCTACATTGATATGAGTGATATTTACAACACAAGGTTGAGCATGTGAGATGGTTTAACATGTGAGTGCTTTGCCCAGAGAAACAGTTTTCTCTCATGAAAAGGAGTGGGCTACATGTGATGTCCAACAGCCAGTAGCACACTCTCATGGGATTAAATCATTGGACGGCATAAAACATTTCAATTGGAAATCTATCGTATGTTATGTTATTATAACCACCGTCTTATAAATATAATGACACAAACTTTTTAAAAAAGGGTATCCCTTTGACTGAAACACAGACTGAAACTAAATGTAGTAAAAGTAGTAAAACTAACTGTTGAAGCTGTAGAAAGTTTGTTTACATCAGTAAAACTGAAATATGACTTGCTGAGATGCACAAACACAAGATTCCACCTTAATGTGGACCTGTACGGCTGTGAATGTACCTCAGATTTGTGTGTTGAGGAACTGTGATTGAGCTTTGAAGTCAGCAACAGAAATCAAATTTAAATTTCCATTCTTGTGAAATAAATTCAGCTCACGTTCGATCTGTGTCTTCATAAAGTGTTACATAAGTGTCCTCTTACACTATGGTGGGAGTGCCTGTTTAAATGACAGCTATGATCATCAATTACAGAGACTGTTGCTACACTGAAAATGCAGGGCAGAGCCCTGGTGGATGTACAACGTGAGCTCTTCTTTTAATGGTAACCGAAGATAAAAAGCTCAATTTCACTCTAATGTGTCATTTTCTGTGGTCCAATAATAGCAAAGATAAATCACAGTGTAAAAGAGAATCTTTAACGAATCCAGCAGAGTTACGATGGTGTAAAAGTCACATTCCTCGCTGCCTTCTGTTGCTGGGTTTTTTGCTGACTTACAGAGCAGGAATGCATTGTGCTGGATTGGTTAATTTTTCCCACACTGGCCCCCCTCATGTGCCTCTGATTTCCAATGTTGTTGGGTTATTATTCACTGACGACCAGACAGGGCAGTTTTCATCTTATCCAACAATGGAATCACGGAGAAGGAAATTAAAGGATTGTTTTGGGGACATAACCAATTCATGACCACCTTAATGTAATACTCTCAAGGGTTTGAACGGAGGATGTCAAACAATGGAAATCCTTGTAAGGGGTACACAATGCAGAATGTAAGGGAATAAGCAGAAGTTTTTCTGGGAAACTCAATAAAAGAAATCTGTGTCACCAGCTCAAATGTTCAATTCTTTTGGCTCATTGTCTCTCCCTAAAGACCAGTAGATATTGTGCAGCTACAATTACCTTTAACATGCTTGAAAGAAAAGTGTGTTTTTACTGACATATATATTAACTTGGTAGGTGTTTTTTGTTAATGCCATCGCCATCCCTTTCAGTTGTGATTTTTCACAGCTTTTGTCAGGACACAAACTAAGTGGAAATTAAGTGCATTTACTTAAACATACTTGTAAGGAACCTGTGCACTTCTCTGATAACTATACTTGGTAGATACATGTTTTTTCAACATGTACAGAGTACTAATACTATTTTTTATTTCTTTTACTTAAGGAAAGTATCTAAATACTTTTTCACCGCTGCATCAAATTGCACAGCTGGAAGATTTCTGGGCTTGGCTTTTTTTAAACTGTTGTTAACAACACCTGTCAAACTGAGTCTTTTTTCTTCTCGTTCCCATGGTTTTATGTTCAGAGAGCATGTGAGTCACAGAGGCTATTTGTGTCTCTGCTAAATTTATACCTGCTAAGGATACAAATGATTTATGTATGAGGGACTAATTTTGACTGTGTTATTTTGATGAGTATCCATTTATGTGTGAGTTTAAGTAAAACAGCTTTGATTAAAACTAATGGAAAATGCTACTTTATGCATGAAAACTCATCTAGAAGGAAATAAGTAAAAAAATCACCTTTGCATACAGAAAAGATCTGAGACATTCAGGTACAATTATATGTAGTAAGACTTTATTCAAGCCCACATGAGGGGTTTTAAATAGTACAAGACACAAAGAAAACAGTAGAATCACAACAAATTGTAAACTACTGTGAAATGGAACAGACAAAATTAATAATTTGAAACATACATAGAGAGTTACAGAGTTACTGTTGTCTTGATGGTTACGCAACAGATACAATCAATAGAAACACTGCATTATATGTTCTTTGCCACAGCCAGTTAGTTGGATTTGACAACAAATGGTAAAGGAATGTCAATATCAATCTGTTTGTCGCTTACTCTCACAAAGGGTTCAACACTTTTGCTTTTCTCCTTCATTACGTCAACAACATTGTTTTGGAAAGCATTAATGCGTTTTACCACTGAGTCGATCCAGGACTGGATGTCAACTTCAAGCTGTTCAGTAGACATGTCAGAAACAATATTTTGGATTTTTGCCCTCACAGTTTTCAGATATTCGAAAACAATTCTGCCGTACTCTACAATCTGTTGGGCAATTTCGTCCACGACAGGAGAGTTGATGGCATCATTGTACACATCAGCAACAAAGGCAGAGATCTTTTCTACATTCTGAGATTTCACGGTGTGGAGAAACCTCTCGCTTTGTTCTGTGGTAAATTGCAAGAATCCTGAAAATTTCTCTTTGACGTCTTCCAATTGGATGTTCCCTAGTTTCCTCACAGTGACAATAACTCTTTCTTGGGTTGTCCTCATAGCTACAGACAAATCATCAAGAATTTCTCCTCCACTCACAATGTAGTTAGAGCCAGGGAGGGTGAATTCAATGGCTTTGATAAAATCAAGGACTGATTCAAAGATGTAGGAAAAATACTCTGGAATCTTTTGAACAGCTTCCTCAGATACATCGGCAACAAAGGTGCTAAGTTTTTGGTAAATCTCAAGCCCAGACAGTCTCTGTTCATACCCATAGATCTGGAATGTGGTCTCTCTCAGGACTTTAACAATAGCATCAAGAACAGCTTCAACTTTCTGTTGGTTCTTTTTGAGAATCACAATAGTCGTATCTGTGACATCTGTCATAACAGCAGAAGGATTTACTGTTGCAAGGTTGTCAACAGCCCTCTTGAACACCACTCTGCCCCTCCTGCTAGCCCGTTCAATGGATTCCCCAAGCCTTCCAACTTTTTTGTTGATTTCTTTATATGTGTAATAAGCAGGGTCTGACACCATCTCCACCACTGTGGGTACCTGTTTCTTCACTTCCAACATCATATCATAGGGCATCTCCATATTCCAGGTTGTCTGAATGTTCAGTTTCTCAGAGTTCATCACAGACATCTTCAGACTCAAGATATCAATGTCTGTTGTTGGCTCAGACTGTGGGAAAAACATGAAACAAAAAAACAATTATTACAAAAACAAATACACACTTTTTTCATTTAAATCACAATAATATGTAATTAATGAGCAGTAAGTCATCAAAAGTCCTCTTACCGAGTAGCGGCCAAAGAGTCTTGCTTTGACTTGTGTTGGGTATTTAGTCTTCATCTGAACTGCAACGAGTCCTGCAGATGGACTTGACATAGAAACAACCAATTCTTCTGGATTTTGAGTAATCTCTTGTTTGATTTCCATCATTCTGTCAAGTAGATTGAGCTTTGCTGAATTAGTGATGGTGGTATAGACATTAGCATTACTTAAGATGATGGCACTGTCATGGATCCCCTCTACCACTGGGTGTTTCACAGAGAGGAGAGAGGCAATTTTGAAATCACCAGCTGTGTTTACGTTGACGTTGCCCTCAATCTTTCCAGTCAGAAGTTCAAATTCAGAGGATGAAGAGGCATCAATTTTGATGAGGATGTTGTCCTTGTTGAGGATGCTGGCATCAGTTTTGAGTGTGATCATTGCTGTTTTCATTGAACCCTCAAAGGTCAGATCACCCAGTACTGGGATCTTGATGCTCTCAATTTTAGGCAGAGTGATTTTTGGAAGAGTCACCTTGCTCAGGGCAGATGGAACATGCAGAGCAGGCATTGTGATGAGAGTGAAGTCCGGCAGGGGAATGGTAAATGTAGAGACCTCGACATTCATCACTGGAACCTTGTAGGCGGGCACTGTAATGGTTTTGGGAAACTCAATGCTGTATTTTTCATACTCTGCCTTTGCTGTGTTGTAAGATGTAGCGAGCATGGCTGCAGCTTTGTCCTTGCCTATGAGTACTTTCTTGTGCAGAGTCTTGACGTTGGTATTAATGACATTGATGAGTGGATCTACATTGATGTCAATGGTAATCACCTCAGGATTTTTCTTGTAGGTCAGCTTAGAGTTCATGTCAAATGTCTGCTGAGTTGTGAGTAGGAGGTCGCCCAGGAAAGTATCCCACAGTGAGAGGTCATGCAATCTTGGTGTCTCAATACCAATGAATGGCACTGTCATTTCAGGAATTGTGATTAATTGCTTCAATCCATCAAGATTTGCCTCTCCATTAATCTGGGAAACTATGCGTATTTCTTTCTCATCATTATCCATGGTGAAGAAATGGGAGTACTTGTACTGGTTGAATCTAGCCAGGCCTGTCCAGCTAGCTTGCTGTACTTCAG